CTCGATTCAAAGAAATCTCTGATGAAATAGAGAAAATCTCAAAAGAACTTATTTCATATGGTCATAAATATAATTCAAGTTGTATTACACGATCATTAAATGAAAATGAAACTGTCGAATCTGTTCTGTGTGGACACAGTGAAAGACTTGCAATTGCGTGGAATTTTGTTGTCAATCCTAACAGATCACATATTCAAATAACGAAAAATCTTCGTGTTTGTGGAGATTGTCGTATGTGATTGTTATTTTATATTTTCCCAATTTTATTTATTATTTTCTTTTCATAGATGAATCAACAAAATTAATTGCAAATATACGTCAATGTGAAATTATTGTTCGTGATACGAATCGAATTCATCATTTTCATAAAAATGGACAATGTTCATGTAATGACTGTTTCTAAAAAAAGAAAAAAAGTAAATTAAACTAGATATTTAGAAATAAATATTCTTGAAAAAGATATGGAATTATATTAGGAAAAATTCATTTATAACAACTCTAATCTTATTATGAATAGTTATCTTAGTTGTTTTCAAATAAATCGAATGTTATTTTATTGAGAATATCGATCTAAGATTTTATATTAAAAGGGTAATAGCCAGCACCTAACACCGAATAGCTGCTTGCGAGGTTGCCGCATTTATTTTCGACTGAGATCTTAAAACAAAAATTATTCTATTTTATTTTATACAATTCTATCAATATTAAATTTTTCATATTTGATAATTTCGATTTTTGTTTATTTTACAATTATTTATGTGAGATGAATAAATAGGTTTTTTTCGAATAAAAATAATCTGTATTTAATATAATGAAAAAAATTTAATTATAAATTATTTCTTCTTATATAACAATTTGTTAATGGAATTTTATTTGTATGTGTAACATTGCGTGCAATTCCATCTTGATAGTTAAATCCAGGAGGTGTTTGATGTTTATCAGATAATGTTCTTATACGACAAAACTGATTTCCATTACAATTTAATTGATAATCAAAAGCAATAGCACTTTTATCATTCATAGCTGTTAAATAACATATTGTTTCATTAACTCTATTACTATAAAAATTCGGCATTGACGAATTTTTCTCATCGATACAATTTCCAAGACCAAATAAAATAAATTTTGATGATGTTATTATTGTTGTTGATTGTTTAGTTTTGACGAGAGTTGTAAATAAATCTAATGCACCTGATGTTGTAGCAGTATTTCGAACTGATTGACAACTCGAAGATGAATTATTATTCCATAATAAACCAAATAATCCATCGATTTCACATCGACTTTTAGTTAAAATTGATATTGTATTATTTTGTATAAATGAAATAAATTTATTTTTATAAGACGAATCTTTAATAAATGGTATTAAATAACCTAAATGTCGAATAAATATTCCTTTAAATAATTTTTGATCATTATCACAATTATTAGGTTCACACTCTTCTTTTAATATTCCATTTGAATAAATTAATCTTTCTATTGTTGCATCTGCAATATTTTGTGCAATATTTAATAATGTTATATTATTTGTTGCATTATATAATAATGCTAAACCAGATAAAATCACACCTTGATTATATGTCCATGTTGTTCCATTATTATTTATACATTTATTATCATTTGAAGAAATAAAATTCTTTAGAGAAGATTTATCTTGAGATCTAAATTAAAAATAATAAGAATTTGAAGAAAAATTTAATTTAAAAATAGTTGTTACGTAAGTCCATCATTGATTAAATAATAATTCTTAATCATTCCACTATTTTCAAACCAATTCCATTCTTTAATTGCCCAATCAAGATAATAATTAGATGATTTACCAAGTATTGAAGTATAAGGATGTAAACGCATACTACTTGATAAAAATAATTCATTAGTAATTGCATTTTTATATGTACGCGTTGGACACCATCGTAATCCACCTGAACATTGATTTTTTGACCATGCTTCTTTTGTTATTGTATCATAAATATCTTTAGCACGGTGTAAATATTTCACATTTGGATCTACTTGATATATTTGTATCCAAGCTAATAACCACCATTGATGATCATCATAACAATTTCCACCTGTAGATTTATCAGTTCTTATAAATGTACGATTAAATATATATTTTAATGGTGAATCAATAATTGATATTAAATTAGCTAATGATTCTAATGTATTTCCACTTTGCCATTTTTCTTCATTTAGCATTAATCCAGTTAGATTATGATAATAACAACTAACTAATCGTGTGCCTGTTACTTCAGCCCAATTCAAAGATTCATTTATGGAATCACTATTAACAATTCTTATCACAATAAGAAATAAACTTAAAGAAAATAATCGAAACATTCACAAATTCTAAAATAAGAAAAAGAATTGTATTAGAAATATTATGTTTAACAATGGACATGTGAGATAAACATGTTTTTATATAAAAGAACGAATAAAATTTACGAGTGAATAAAACTTATAGAGTTACTTATAAATAATTAAATATTTTAATGTTGTATAATCATTATATACTTGGCGACTATAAAATCGTTGAAAGTTTATCTTTTTTTTTCTTCACATATACAAAAAAA